AGAGTTTGTGTTCAAGCAACTCTTAAGTAGCCAATGCTAATACCAGCGTCACCTCACCTCTTTCCATCATGTAGGCACTGTGTCACCTCATATCACCATGATAAGAAGCTATTCATACAAAACATTTTCAGAGACTTTACATTCACAAGACTTTTATTACAATATACTGTTATAAATGTTATATTTAATTATTAGTTTTTAATATTGCATCCAGTATGTCAAATAAATTTTGTCTTGAGTACATATGCATGGGAGAAACAGAGTTTGCTGCTGTCTTAATAAGTTTAGGCATCCCCTGGGGGTGGGGTTAGAAAACTTCTGCCATGAACAGTGGGGGCAGAACTGTATGCCTCTACTACTTCAGCAAGCATGCCATATCCCAGAATGTTTCCACTGATTCTTTTTAATCAATATATTTCCCAGAGGTAACTATCTTTTTAAATTTTAACACCTAATATCAATAGATCTTGTCAGTAGTTTTCCAAAAGGGATTTTAAGTTTATAGTCTTCCTAGCATATAATACAGTTCTAGACACATCTATAGCAATGTCCTGTTTTAACTATTGACTCCTCTTGTGGGCATGCAGTAATAATAGCAGAGTATTGTTTTATTTTGATATTTATCTGATGGGCAATGACAGTGGGCATCATTTCATATTGGTCATTTAGATACCTTCTTTTTGAAATGTCCTGCTCAAGTGTTTTGCCTATTTTCAAGAGGGTTTGTAATATCAGCATTGATTTATAGGAGCTCTTTACAGACAGATGTTTTGTCAGATACGTTTGTCTTGAAAATATTTATTTTCAGTATATGTTTGGTTTGTTCCCTTTAAAATGTCTACATATGAAAAGTTTTTTTACTATCATGAAATCCAATATGTTGACATGTGTATATGTAATACTTTTTTGTTGTAATTAAGGAATTTTGAATACCTGGATCTCATTTTTAATTCTTTTGTCAATTCTCTTCAAAACTGGTACCATTTTTCAGCACACTCTAAATTGAAAGATAATTATTAATTTGAATATTTATTTCTCATTTCATCAACTGGAAGCTATAAAGTCACAAATGAGCCTGGCAGATTGGATGATGTCTCTCTGCCTTTTGAACTCTGTCAGATCTTTCCTCAGCTGTGGGGCTGAAGATTCTATGATGCATTCTTTATTTTTATTTGTTCTAATTAGTTATACGTGACAGTAGAATGCATTTTCACACACCAGAAAAAAATTCAGTATAAATTCTCACTCTTCTAGTTGTACACAATGTAGAATCACCCCTGTTGGGTAATCATATATGTACATAGAGAAATAATGTCTGATTCATTCTAATACCCTTCTTACCTCCCATGTCTCTTCCCCTCCCTTCACTCCCCTCTGTCTAACCCAAAGTACATCTATTCCTCCCTAGCTCCCACCCCCTTATTGTGAATTGCATTATTTTTATGAGTAGGCATAGCTTTTCCTTGAAAGGAAATGAAGCTCTAGAGAGCTATTCTTTTAATTCCAGCTTCAATCAATATAATCTAGCAATCAGGGGTGTAATAATATGGCAAAATTGCATTATACTGAGAGTGTTAAATACTTTCTCCAAATAATTATATTGAAAAAGTTTTCTTCTTTAGAAATACAAAATGTCGTTCATTACTTAGTAGAAGAGTTTGGTATGAAATTCTGATTTATTCCAACTAAGTAGTACGGTCCCCAGTGATGACACTAAGATACACCCTCTCAGATTTCTTTATTGTGAGACTATAGAACTTCACTTAATTGTGTCAAAGAGTTGCTAATATTATCTGCTATGCCAATCCATCCCTATGTTCAGTAAATAAGTCTGATATTCTTGATAATTTTTTTTAAATGTTTGGATTTGGCACTTTTACAACTTGATCTGACATAGCTACAGCTAAATTAGAAATTGACAAATTCACCATTCTACAACAGAATATTCAAAAATCAAAATCATTACAGGTGGTCCCTTGTCCCTGATAATTAAACTTTTCAGAGAAACACATGACCAGAACTTTGAAGATACTTCATTTATCGCGTGAAAGGAAGGTAGTGCCCATGAATGGGACAGTGTGACGGGGCAGGTGTATGCCTACTAGTCATTGAAACAGGTTTCCAGCCTGGGATTTACAGCACAGGACAGTTTTTGATCCTTAGCAAATGATTTCATTTTTGAAGGTTCTTTCCTCTCCAAGATGGTGTTAGAGTAAGCACTGAGTAAACTTTACATTATTTCTGCTAATTCCGTACTTTATCCTTGCATTATTCCCTGGTATAACTGAATTGGTTAACTGAAAAAAAAAAAGAGGCTTCCACTTCATTTTGGTTTGAAAATCTAACTATTTTTTTCTAAATGATAGTGAGGGTTTATTATCTAATTTTCATAAGCAAATAATTACTTGAAGTATTTGAAACAGCCCACTTCTTGTTGTTAGTTAAACCAAGGTCAGCATTACAAGAAACTTGGTTAGAGTGCATGAAGTTGAAAGCCAGTCATGGTTTCAATATAGATTGCACCAAAGTAATGATAGTGATTTTTAAAATTTCTATGGCTAATTGAAAAATATTTCTATGTGGTAATTTGTGGAGAGTCGTGACTTGAATCATGATCTCTGCCTCATGTTGTATTTGTGCTGGGAACTTCCTGTGCAAAGGTGCAGGTCAATATTATCCAGTTGCTCTGAGGATGCCCAGCCTTAGGAAACTCTGTGCAAAGGCATGTAGTTATATCATTCTGAACCTGGAGCTCAGACACCAGCTCCTAGGGATAGAGAATTCTGAGCATAACAAGATAAACCTAATGTCGAACCAGCGCTGCATCCTTCAGTCTGCCTGCTTTGCAGAAACTTTCCCACAAATAACCTTTTGATGATAAAACCTATATAATAAACATGTGGAGCTAACTCTGGGTCACTGATTCTCCATCAGAGGACAATGGTCCCACCTGGTCCCAGCTTTCTCTCTATATGTCTGTTTGCCTTTTCGCAATCCACCATCTCCCCTCACTGGTTTATGAATTAACAGCTAGCAGAGAGGTGGTGGCAATGATTGTATGGTAGAACACCACCACACCATACCAAGGTGGACTAGGAAGAAAGCAAGATAGGAATTCACCCCACACTGCTGATATTCAATATGTACTCTCAGAGAAATATTTTGTTTTATTGTTACATTTCTCATCATTAGCTGGGCCAAATAAACATATTTTTTGTAACAAACCAAAAAGGTATATATTCTTCATGTGGGCACAGTTTGGATAAGAAAGTTCACCAAGTTTTAAAGTGTTAAATTTAAATATCAATCTCATCTGATAAAAGCATGGAATATTATTTGCTCCCTTTCAGTCCCCAGTACTTCCCCTTCTCCCTCCTCTGTTCATCTTTCTCTGCTCTTCTGGTCTTCCTTCTATTTATTTATAGTATTTTTAGATTAGTGTTTCAAACGTGAAGCTCACTGTGGAATATTCATGTATGTACATAGGATAGTTCGGTCAATTTCATTACACCCTTCCACTCTTTTCCTGTGCATCTCATCCCATTTCCTTTCTTTCCTTCATTGATTTCCTTCCTTTGCTTCATTGATCTGTCTTCTATTTTCATGGGATCTCCCTTTTACCCCCTATTTTGCTCTAGCTTCCAGATATGAGAGAAAACATTCTATCTCTGACTTTCTGACTCTGACTTGGGCCACTTAGTATGGTGTTTTCCAGTTCCAGCCATTTACCAGGGAATGCCAACATTTCATTCTTCCTTATGGTTGAGTAAAATTTCTTCATTCATCTGTTGATGGGTATCTGGGCTGATTTCATAACTTGGGTATTGTGAATTATTCTACCACAAATATTGATTTGCCTGTATCACTATACAATACTGATTTTTAGATCTTTCAGACATACACCAAGCAGTGGGCTAGCTGGGTGTTATGTTGGTTTCATTCAGAGTTCTTTGAGAAATCTTCCTTTCAGAGATCTTGTACTCATTTGCAGTTCCAAGTACAATAAATCAGTACTTAAATATTTTAATTCTTAACATATATATATATATATATATA